AAGCTAGTAAGGGATGAATTACTATATTTAGATGGCAAAGCTTTAAAAGAAGGAATCAAAACTTCCAAGATTACGAAAATTTTCAACTATGCACTTCATATAAATTATACACGTACTTGCTTGCAAATTATAATTAAAATGATTGGTTCCGATCATGTAAACATTCTTGTGCAAATAAACCTTTACACAATTTCATGTATAGAATCTGATGAAAGATAACAAGAGCAAAGAAAATAATTCGTATGCTTAAATTTATGCGTATAAACGAATATGCAGATGCAGTGATCTAACATCTTACCATACATTTTCATGAAATAATGCGAGAAAATAAGATTTTAAAAGCGAAGCAAGGTTCTTTTGTGTACATATTAATTTAATTTTTGAAGAAGAATGGGATGAATATGAAATGTGCAGAATAATGAGATACATGATGATGAATAAAAAAAAATGACATGAATAAAATGTTGTACTAAGGTACCTAATTATATACCTAATTGACAGATTATGCACCCTACATGACCCTTCTGTAATGTCTGTCATCTAAGTTTATGCAAAATAAATCTTTAACCACCAATTCTATTCAAAGATTTAAAGTTTATGGTAGAAAAGTACACTTAAGTACGTATGTACAGTACATACATAAGTACATAAGTACGTAAGTACGTACTTTACGTACGTACGTACTTATGTATGCATGATACAATAATACATTGGAAATACAACGTCTTTACGAGAACTTTAGTTATTCTGGGCATTTTATTAATTACTTTTATTATTTTCCTTTTCTTGCATTTTATTACAAATTATTGATTACGTAGCAAACTCCGACGACCAACTCCGAATATCAGATTTGGTATTGCTGCGGCACTGTGCCGAGAAACGTTTCCACATTACATAAGCTACAAAGGAACACGAACTGAAATAAGAACACAAATGAGACACGCATTAATAAATTTACACGAAAGAAATAAACTTTAATTGGTCAAAATTAAACATTTGAATTCTTTGTTTATATATATAACTGCCTATATAAAGTAGAAAAATCTCGTGACTTATCAAAATAGGAATAGTTTCGGCTTAGCATTAATGTTTATTCTTTTCAATGCTCATTGTTTGAACTTATAGCCTGGATTAATGATAAGGTACGATAATGCTGCTGACAAAAAAAAAACTATTACAAGGGATTTTTTTTTTAAACAACGTCAATGTTGTGTTGACATTTAACAATAACCAATTTTCAATTCACTTTTACAAACTTACAAACAGATCAAATCCTTTGATATTAAACCAAGTTAAGAAATTTCCGAACAATCGAGTTGAAAAAATATATTTTTTATAATTTGAAATGATATACATATTCATTTAATATTGATTACATATGTGCATTGTACGGTTATAAAAAAAATTTAAACTAAATAGGGAAAAATTCAAAGGACATGCTTGATTAGTGGAAGTTATGATCTTTAACATACTTGAAAATGTAAATTATTAAATCCATAAAAGGTATGATATAAAATTGCAGACCTGAAAACGGTTAACGTTAAGATTTTATTTATGTAATAAAGACGCAATGTGAGATTTGTTGACTTGTTTCAATGTGAGAATTGATAATTTGTCAATGTGTCAATGTGAGATTTGTTAACTTGTCAATGTGAAACTTGTTGACTTGACCTTGACAATGTGAGAATTGTGATTTGACAATGTGAGACTTTTTGACCTGACAATGTGAGACTTATTGACTTGACAATGTGAGATTGTTGACTTGACAATGTTGCTTTAACAATGCTCAGCAAGATCAAATTGTCACCTAAGTACGTGCATTAAAAAAAAAAATTGAAACATAGATTAATCATTATAGGATTAGATCAATCATGATATATAATTTGTGATATATAATTTGACAAGAAATAATATCAACTGATTTGGACATGCTTTTTTTTTATTTTAATAATATATATATATTATATATATAATATAGTCATATACAGTACATACGTATATCGATAGATAATATATATATTTTTTTACTTGTTGACTAGCATACACTGTACCGTACGCGATACCTTGAGTTATTAGTGTTACCTAAGCATACGGCTGCGTTTAGTTCGTGTAATCTAGTTCTCACGATACACATAAGCCACTTTCCTAACATATTCCATTATTTACATTAGTAAGAAGCAACACAAACCTAAAATCCTGTTTTTTTCATAAAAATATTCGAGTATTTTACGTAACGAGTCTGATGCGCGTCACTCTTAATATATATTGAGACAATAGAAGCTCATTTTTAGGTTCATATGAAAATAACAATAGATCTCTTAGTGGTGTTGGTAAATGCGAGACAATAGACATTTTCTTAATTAATCATAAAGGTATTATTATTAACAATAGGATTTCCCATTCCATTAAATTTTTTAATCTAGATAGAACTAATTGAATAATTTTAAATTAATTCATTTAAAATTCATTCTTGACCATTATTCGAACCATTATCCATTATTCGAACTATTATTCGAACTATTATTGAGCCACTATTAAACCATTCTTGAATCATTATTACATTGGATTTTCGATGGGAAAATTATCAATTGCATCTACTTTTTAAAAATTCTTGAAACGCTTTACAGAAAAAAAAATAAAATAAAATTTGAAAAATCTCAATAAAGTAATATAAGGTGATCTAATTTAGAACCTAGTTTAAAAGGATCTAACCTTAATAACCTAACCTAAAGTCTTAATTCGAAATTCGAAATCATGTATTTTCATTTAATATTCATGTGAATGCAAATAAATAAAATGTATGCATACTCTTTTTTTTTTTTCTTTTTTTTTTAAAAAAAAAGAAAAAATCATCTATGTACAGTACGTACGTACTTGGTATATTGTATACCGTATGTATGTACCATAATACGCATATACATAAATATACAAACATCTTTTTTCCATTCACTCAATTTGGTATTATAAACTGAACGTGATACGATTACAAATTTACTATCATATATATTTGATTTCGATTTATTAAAATTTTATCAAACCTACTTACATATAACCCTTCGTAATCTTGGAAGTTTTGATTCCTTCTTTTAAAGCTTTGCCATCTAAATATAGTAATTCATCCCTTACTAGCTT